ATTTCACATGTGAAATTTAAAAAATTTTCTGATGAATAAAAGTATTTTTATTTCTAAAATGAAAATTACTTTGCATGATGGATAGGCAACCTACAAAAAGAAAAATAGGCATTAGAAAAAAACATTATTTTACAAACCTTAAGACTTAATAAAAAAAAATATATTTTGTGTATGAAAGTGTTGTAATGTTTACTGATAATCTGCCAAATTTCATTAACATACGCTTAATAATTTAAAAGTTATAGCATGAAAACTAAAACAAGCCCAAAAATGGTTATGAGGTCGGTCCTACGGACCCAGCGCATGCTAAAACAGTTAAACAGAAATTTATTCTCGTGATTTAGTAAAATGCTAGAGAACTATTTTCATAATAGAAAGCAAATGTTGGTGATAAATGAATATTAATCTGACTGGCTGTCATAAGTATACCTGTTTAAAATAATTTTTATTATTCATTACTTATTTAAATCACTAGCTGGATAATAAGTTATCAAAGTGATGAAACAAAGATGCTGGGTAAGGTTGGCACTGTTAAGCTTGTTTTAGATTTTTCATACAAAACTATACAAGCCATCTTTAATTTTTAATTGACCTGGATAGTGGGAAGGCAACTAGTCAACAGTGTCCATTGCCAATTTTTGGGCTACTCTTGTCTAACCGAATAATGGGATTTGGTTGTCATTCTAATAGTGTACCATGAACCTTCAAAATTACAGTCAGGTCATATTAACCATTAGGCTACACCTAGTCGCAATTCATAAAGACATGGAGTCTTAGTATGTGGACCAGAAGTGAGAAAATGGTGACTGTATGAGAAATGAACATGTGACCTCCAGTATCTCACCTATAATTTGAAACTGTACATGTAAAGAAAAGATTCATTGAAGCAGTATGTCATTAAGGATTTTTGTCAGCACTATAATTAAAAAATCACAAAACATCATAACAGTTTTATCTGTTGGAAATGATGTCTAGGAAACCCACAAAGCTGTTTTATCTTTTTTGCAACAAAATGTTTTAATTTTTAAATTGATAATATAATTAGTTAAATAATTTTATAAGAAATTAAATATTTAGTCTGCCCATGTTTGGAAACATACCGAACATAATACTGATTTCTTTTGGTTCAAATAAATCCTTGACAGAGCCACGGAGAGTGAATTGGATCCCCAAGAACACTTGTCTTATCTAAAACAACAAATATATGTTAAATTACTGTTTATGAAATGTATATATTTTTTTTTGAGCACAAAGCTACACAGTGTCATTTGTGCTGTACCACTGGGGGGTGAGGTCGGGGAGAGTTGTTGATGAAAACAAACCAATATGACTACAGAATACAGATTTCATACTGATGCTACCTTATGAAAGGATAAGCTTGAAAAATAATTTTTGGTATTGGTAAACATCATTGCAAACTAATATTGGACTAAAATTCCAAATTTTAAACAACTCTGTCTATGGATAAAAATCCATAATAAAGTCATGAAGTCTAACCTTTTCTTCTGGTATGGAAGCCAAGTTTTCAGGGCATTTTTTTGCAAGTACATCGCTATCCAAACTTGTAACTATCCACTCATCTAAAACTTTTCCCTCTGAATCTAATTCCTAAAGGAAAAATTATTCAGTCTTGAATATAATAGAATATATATAATAAAACACAAATGAAGTTGCAAAAACGTTTATTAATATAGTTCTGTCATCAGTCTCAATTGTATTTACATAAAATAGCCAACAAGACTGCACAAAACAACTTATAATCATATCTGTCTCATTAGTGATTTTTATTCCAAAGTTTTCATGTTATATTTCTTTCATTGAAACGACATTTTTTCCTAACATTCTAATCTATGTAACTACATTTGCAATGTTAGAAAAAAACAATAAATAGAAAATATTCATTGAAACTGATCTTTGCATACCTTATGTGCAATATTTCAAATTTTTGTACATACACAATTAACAAAAACATCACAACAAGTTAGAACACTGTATTCATTAACTTACCTCTTCACCAATAATAGATATTTTTGGAAACTGTCTAGAGAGAGATGTCACAATACAATGTTGTACGGATCTGTCAGCTTCTGTCTGAAGGTCATCGATTCCCTGTAGGTAATAAAATTCTCAGAACATGCATAAATAAACAGCTTATATTTTATTACTTAAATAGGTAAGACCAATGTCAATACATGCAAAATTATCTTGCTTATTGTTCTATGGCTGAGACATCATTCATCCTATTGATCCTTTCAGTATTCTAATTAGTTTAAAGGTGACTTGATTCAAGTAGAGTTGTTAGAGCTTAAATACAATGTTCACGGGAAAACTGGATTACCATAGAAAAATTGCCACACACAATGGTGCATCTCACAACCCTAAGAAGAATGGTCTGTATTTGTGAGAAGGGGAGATGTGAGGTAGTTTGAGTAGTTATTACTAACAATAATTAGTGGATTAGTCATTTAGTTCTATTGGTGGAACACTCCCTAATAAGCAAGAGATCCCAGGTTTGATCCCAAACACAGGAACTACTAAAATTGGATTACCAAATCAGTACTTCCAAACAGACAGCTCCACTTACTAGAAGCAATAGGGTTTTTATCAGGGTTTATGAATGTGATTTCCAAGCAGTTAAAAAATGAACAGCTATGTAACAGATTATTAAAAGTGAAAAAACAACTCGGACCTAGAAGAGGAATAATCTTTAGTGACAAAGATAAATTAGGATCAGTAAAATGAAAGAGAATGAATATACTTGAACTGTGTGATGCATGTTTATGAAAATCACTTCTTATCATTCTTTTCTCAAGGGAATATAATTTAGTACTTTAACCTAACCTCCATAAGATAATCCTTTCATCCTCAGAATCAACTTAGTAGGTCCCTCTGAATCCTTTTCAATAAGTCAATATCCTATCTTAAATATGGTAACCAAACCTATAAATATTGTTATGATGTGGTCGAATTAGATATTTGTATATGTAAATAATTACTTGTTCCAATTTTTTGTATTTATGGTAAAGCTACTAAGGCTATCTGCTGCCATTCCTAATCTTGAGCTATTGACCAAAGGGTAGGCAGCCAGTTAGAAGCACCCTACCACCCACCATCTTCACTAAAGAATTATCTGCCACTCTTATAACACATCCACAGCTTAAAGTGTGGAGAATATTTTGTTGTATTGCTTGGATGTTCTGAGTTGTAAATAGTCTGTTAAATACATCCTTAAATTTTATTAAGTTATTACTAGCAAAAAAGCCTCAATAGCTTGAGTGACTTACTTATGTATCAGACTATCACTATACCATTAATTTTTTTCTTTAGTTATCCTACTGAGTGGGTTTGCATATATATTAAATGTGTAATCCAAATAATAACCCAAATGCATTGCCTTGCACTTATTTAATCAAAGATCATCATTTTCCAACAATTTCATCAACCTACCAATTGATCCAAGTCATTCTGTAGCACCTCAACATCCTCAATACTAAAGCTTAGCAATTTCTGGAACTTGATAACTGGTTATTCACTGGACACACCACCAGTAACAAAATTCCAATTTGACTGGACTACATATGATAAAAAAAGACTTCCCTTTAGTGAATCCATCATGGCGCCGTTTCATTATATCATATTTCACCAACTGATTTTGGAAATCTTTTGTTAGACTAGAATTTTTCTCACTACAGAAATATATTTCCAGGGCAATTCTTATCATCCCTTAAAAAAAATAAAGTAACATTAGCAATTCTCCAATTCTCAGGCACCTGTCTACTGTATACAAACTTATTAAAAATGGGGGGGGGGGGGGGGGGGAGGGTATAGAGTAGAGAGTATAGTAGTACGACTACACTCTAGTAGTAGTGTAGTAAGTTAATTACTTACTCTAC